GGTCCCCTCTGCCCCATCCCTCTGCACCCAAGGTCCCCCCCTGCCCCATCCCTCTGACCCTCCCCGCACGCTGGGTCAGCCCCTGTCTTACCTTCCTTACACCCCAAGTCAGTTCCTTCCCTCTCTGCCATCTACCCAGGGGCCACCCCTGCCCCAGCCAACCTGCACCCAAGGGTCACCTGTCCCCATCTCCTCCACACCCAGGGGCCAGCCCTGCCCCACTGTCTTTAGGGGTGTGAGTCGAGGGTGGGGGGCAGAGCGGGCCAGACTCCCACCCCCTCAACCAGCTGCTTCTCCACAGGCAACGAGTCCATCTGCTCCCCCAACGTGTACATCGAGTGTGCTGACCACACACTGGGTAGGTGCAGTGGCAGGGAGGTGGGGGGGTGGGGGGCTGTCCCCGGGGAGGAGGCCGGGGAGGGTGCAGCCATGCCGACATGTGCGTGCCCCCAGACGCAGCGGTGGAGGACAGCCAGGAGCGCTGCAGCTGCCCTACGCCGTGCAACCTGACACGCTACGGCAAGGAGATCTCCATGGTGCGCATCCCCAACAAGGGCTCAGCACGCTACCTTGCCCGCAAGTACAACAAGAACGAGACCTACATCCGGTGAGCTGCCGGTGCCGGGGCATGCTGGGGAGGTGGGCAGCAGGCTGGGGACGCTGGTGACCTGGGAGATTCCCACCCTACTCCTGGCAGTGTGCGAGGAGCGAGTCTTGGCATGTGCAGTCCCTGCAGCATCCTCTGCCCAGCGGTGGCTGTGACTGGAGCATGTCCCCGACTCATCTGTGTCCTCCCAGCCCTCCTGGTGACATCTCCACACCTCACAGTCCCTCCTGACCTGGGACATGCCCCTTGCATGTCCCCACCGCACAAGCCTGAATAACTCACCAGGGCCCTGGGAGCACCTGGGAGCTGGAGGACTGGGGGAAGGGTCATGAGGTTTGAGGGCCAGTGATGGTGGGAGGGTTGGTGACCAGCCCTTCTTGCTGAGCACTGTGGTATCCCCACAGGGAGAACTTCCTGGTGCTGGACATCTTCTTTGAGGCACTCAACTACGAGGCCATTGAGCAGAAGAAAGCTTACGACCTCGCCGGGCTTCTTGGTGACTGCCCCACCTTCCCCTGGGACCTCAAGGCGTGGAGCTCTGGGTCACAGCCCAGGAGGGTTTAGGGCTGGTTGGGGAGGGACTGCATGGGGTGGGAACTGGCTGAAGGGTGGCATGTGTCCCAGGTCCCACATGTACCCTGCTCCCTCCGTCCTGCCGCCTCTGCCTCATGACCGTGCTGTCTCTGTCTATCCGGCAGCCCTGGCACTGCCTGCAGTTCTGCTGGCCCACCCTGGGCTCCCAGCGGGCTGCACAGCAGCTCCCAGTGACCATCTGCCCCTCTTTCTCCCCAGGGGATATCGGGGGACAGATGGGCCTGTTCATTGGTGCCAGCATCCTCACCATCCTGGAGATCCTGGACTATGTCTACGAGGTGTGCTGAGCCCTCGGGGTGGTGGCTCAGCGGTGGGAGGGGGCTGTGGCACACAGGCAAGGTGCAAAGCCGGGGCCAGGCTCCCTGGGGACAAGGTGCTGTGTGTGGGCACCCCAGAGGACTACCTACACTCCCCAAATCAGGGAAGTCCCAGCAGGAGGCAGTGGGATGACGGGTTCCCCAGCGTCCCTCGATGGCCTGAGGACTGCGGCGGGTGGCGGGCAGAGGTGCTGTCCCCACTGTCAGCCCGGTGTCCCCCAGGCAGGCAGGGGAGCGGGAGGCAGGTCCACACAGAGCGGGGTGCCCACGCAGGGGGTGCTGCCTGTGTGCGGGTCCAAGTCTGAACCCCCATCTGCACCCAGGTGATCCGGGACAGGGTGAGCCGGGTCCTGCGCCGCTCCAAACCGCCCCTGAAGAAGCCTTCGGGCAGCATCGCCACGCTGGGACTGGAGGAGCTCAAGGACCAGGTATCCCTGCAGGGAGGGGCTGCCTGGGGGCCTGCAAGGACAGGACCTGGGCACTGTCCATCCCTGCCCCAAGTAGAAGGGACATCACCCTAGAAGTGAGGGACACCACGGCTCCGCATTTGGTGACCTCAGGCTGCAGAGCTGGGGCAGCTCCAGGGTGGCAGGGAGCTGGGTGGCCCCAGGGGGTGCTCTTGGGGACAGATTTTGCTGGGTTTGGGGACAGGGTGCATGAGGTCTGCACCCACTCCAGTGACCTAACCGCCATCCCCACAGAGTCCCTGCGAG